TACCCATCTTAACTGCAAGAGCTTCCTTATAAGTGGTATGGTAATGTTTTTCAGCTTCTTTGAACTGACCACTAGCATGACCACAATAATACTTTATTCCATCAATCTCTTCTATGAAGACGGCTCCCCAGTAATGATCACTAGCATCCGTCTGTAAGATTCTTTTACCGTATCCCGGGATCTTTAAGGCAGGTGGGGTTTGTGCGATCTTTTTCAAGGCTCTTACTGCTTCAGTTTGCTTTTCTCCCCATGGTGGGGGGTTTTTCTTCAGCATTTGAGATAGAGGACTCGTGTATTTTGCCAGTTTTGGCAAGAAATCTCTGATATAATTAATTATACCAAGAAATTGCTGAATCTGCTTAACAGTGAGCTTTTCATCGGGAAAGTTTAGCAATTCTTGAGCAATATGAGGCTGAGGTTGATACTTCCCTTGGGAAAAATGCATTCCTAGAAAGTCAATTTCTGTTTGGCCCAATTGGCTTTTCTTCTCAGAGAGCATCATCCCATGTCGCTGGGCTATTTGAAGGAATTGTCCCAATAGTTGTTTATGGGATTTTTCATCTTTTGAGAATAATAGCAAATCATCAATATAGATGAGGATACTATTGAGAATGGGCTCAAAAATTCTAGTCATGGCCTTTTGAAAAAGTGATGGAGCTACCTTAAGCCCAAATGGTAACACAGTCCATTGGTATTGGGCGTTAGGAATGCAGAACGCCGTTTTGTAACGGTCCTCGGGGTCGATACCCAATTGCCAAAATCCTGACTTAAGATCGAACTTGGAATAGATCTGGGCATCTTTGATGAAAACATTTAAGGACGAGGCCTTTGGAATAGGAAATTTATCATCCTTGAGGAAATGGTTTAGAGGTTTATAATCAATTACTAGCCTCTTTTTTCCTCTTAACTTTTCAGATCTTTTCTCTACATAAAATGCTTGGCAAGCCCATTCTGATTTGGTGGGTTCTATCAGACCTTGTTTGAGCAACTGGTTGCATTCTTCCCTGGCCAATGTATAATCTGATGGACTCATTCCTGGATGAGTGGCCTTGGTTGGATTAACATCTTCATTGAGCTTAAAAGGAAGTTGAACAAAAAAGTCTTTATTCTTCCATAGAGGTTTTGGATGGCAGAATGTTTCATGGCTGTTTGCACAGAGTTTGAGTAGGTTGGACTTGATTTCTTCATATCCAGCAGGGATTTTAGATAGTGAATATAACTTCAATATACCAGAATAAGGTTTGAATTCTCTTTTGAATTTTAATCCCGTGGGAAGAATCTGGAGTCTATTGGCTGCTGAGTATACATCCATCCCTACTACAATATCTTTGTTTGGAAGATTACTTCCAATGACCTTGGTCCAAACTATGCAGTCGGGGAAGAATTTGATTCCTATCTTTTCCTTGGTCATTAAATCTGTCCTGAAGACTTTCCCATCTGCTGCTACAAAGTACGCAGCATGTGTTACCCATGATTCTGCTGGGAGAATGCTAGGATTCATCATTGTAATCTGGCCCCCAGTGTCCATATAAGCTATAACTTTCTTCGGACGGGAAAACTTTGTCGCTAGTACATGAGCTTCAATACATGGGAGTGGTGGAGTAGGAAGAGAGCTTCCTATCTCTTTGAAGGAGTAAACAGGGAAATATTTGTCATCTTCTGATTCAGAAAATGATGCTTCATCAGACGCAGAGTCTTGAAGGGCAAAAATTGTTTCTTCATCAGCAGAACTTTGTTCAGAATACAAAGATTCTAGGTCTCCATCTAGAGGTTGAAGAGAGTTGATCAGTTTTGAGGCTTTGTGGGTATTATTAGGACATTCCTTGGAAAAGTGCCCCTTTTTCCCACAAATAAAGCATCTCCGGTTTTTCCCCTTTCCTCTGAAAGATTTTCTTTTAAAGAACTTCATGGTCTTCTTTTTCTTTCCTTTAAAGTTCCTATGAGATTTGGAGTATTTTTGATGATGATGTTTGTTTTTTGTTTCACAACTGCACTTTTTGTCTTTACACTTAATCTCCAGATAAGGTTTTTTGCAGGCCTTGGTGAACTTTGACTTTTGCTGTATAACTTCTTGAAATTGATGATGAAAGCTACAAAGCTTTTCAAGTGCTTCCAACGTTGCCTGATGAATCTGGCCAAGACTCATTGTTGCAATATCCTTTTTAGCTGTTGCTACCATCCTATGGATTTCTTGCTGGAGTTCATGTGGTAGAGATGATACATAAGTATTCTTGAGACTAGGATCGTTGTACCCATTGAGGAGATAAAACCTTTGTGCCATCCTGTGATAGTGTTTGTCGAGGTCTTTTGTTTTTAGGGAACAACACTTCATCTCAAAGAATTCCTGCCTATTTTTTCTATCGAACATATCCATATCTCCGATAAACTCCTGGTGGAGTACACCAAGGATATTGGCTGTGCTTTCTAAACGGTGTAACTCATCTTGTTTGAAAGCCCCAAGATTGTGATACCATTCCTTCATCGTGCCTGTCATTCTACAGCAAAATTCTTCAATGACCTTATAGCTATCTGCATTTGTTTTCATCATTTGGGTATCAAGCCATGCTCCGAATTCAAGTAGTCTCTTTCTCCAATGACTAGGCGGTATATCATCAAATGTGAACCAAGGACCACCATTTGGTTTAGTCCTTTCAGGGACTAGAGTTTCTTCAGGAGATTCTTCAAAAAATGAATCTTCCTCTTTTATATTTGCCATGAAGAGTCTTGGGATGTAGTTTACTTCAGATTGTGATTCTGATGAAAAGGATCTTGGTGTTTCATCACTAGAAGTTTCTTGACAGGAGTCTTTTTCATCATCCGAGGAGGACTCGTCTTCTTTTTGTGCCGATGATTCAGCAAGAGAGTAACTTTTCTGGGGAAATTCACAATTTCCAGTGATTGCCATGGCTTGGAAACCTTTATCAGGAATTTCTTCTTCTTTTTGGAATTTTGGAGGAGGTGTTTCAGGAAAATCCTGAGATTCTGAGGATGAAGCGCTTAAACAGGCAGCCTTTCCTTTTTTCTTGGAGGTTGAGGTAACGGTAGTTCTGGTAGATTTTGGTCTGTAAGCTGTAGGTATGTATTTGACCTGATCTGGTGGTGAAGTAACATAGGTAGGGAAGAAGGGAGAAGGTCTTTCTGGTCGTTTGAAATATGTAGGGAAAGTAGGAGGGTCAAGGAAAAGGTTTTCAACAGGCTTGGGCTTTCTTTCGTGTGAAGCTCTTAAGAAATCATCTATTTCTTTTACTTGGCCTTGTAGGTTTCTGATTTCTCTTTCCTTTTGGTCAAAATTTTTGCCAAAAGTTCTCTCTTCTAACATCTGTCGCAAATCACGATCCAGCTGAGACACCTGGGCCTTTAAGCTTCTGTAATGCTTCTGCATTTTCTGTGATAGAACCTTGAGATAATCATCTGTCTCGTCTATTCTCTCAGCAATCTTGTCCACTTTTTTGTCGAGATTTTGGAGGATATCATTTTGAGAAATCATGTTTTCTGATTGCCAGTTTAGAACTTCTTCAGCCTGAGTTAAAGGTTTGAGTTTTCCATCGGGTTGTACTTCATTAGGATGAATGAAGGGTTTGGATGTTCTACCAGTGATTGGGTCCATCTTCCTTTCTAGAGCGGGAAATTGTTGGCTATATTCTGGTGCGGTAGTTGAGTACATAAAGCAAGGGATTAACTCCACATTTTTTGGAGGGTCCAAAACTTTGCAGTGGTCTGACGGTGACCACGTAACCAGAGTAGTTTCATTTGGTGGCAACAGTTTTTCTTTCCTGAGGATCTTGAGAGCTTCCTCATAAATAGGAAGAGGTTTCTTTTTATCATGGATACCTACCCATGGACCGTTATCGGGATCATATCTTCTTTGTGGAGGGGGAGATGGTTTGCACGCCCCGTTGTTTTTCCTTTTTGGAAGGATAATATCTCTGTCATAATCATTATCATGCATCCAACATTCACATCCTGGATCACATTTATTGGGATCTACGTCCCAAATAAAATGACCATTTATCTTGTCAGTGTAGATAGGTTCTCCTTTACTAGTTACAGCATGAATTGGGCACCAATCTTCTTTGAGAATCGGTCGGATCATCATGGTCTGGAAAATAGGAGGAATTGAACTCGGTCCTTCATCTGGTTTTTTGAAAATTGTTTTGACCGTTTTGTCAACAGATCTTCTAAAGGTGGCCTCTTGAGATTGTATTTGTCTTCTATCTTGATGGATTTTTTCATAGTTTGTTATCCACTCAAGAGGAACTAACTGAGTTAGTTCTTCCCTCGTGATCTTTCTTGGAATCTGAACAATAGAGGGTATATCTTCTTCTCTATTAGTAACTACTAACAGAGAATCAGAAGAACATCCCTCGAGAGGCAAATCTATCGAATGATTTTGTAGAAGATAGATTATTTGGTGATGGAGAGTAGCAGACATGGCCTCTGGAACTTGGTCAGATCCAGTGATTTGGACTTGGACCTTTAGTCTTGTAGATAGGGTGCTGTCGTTGAGGCTTACATTATAATTTGGAAAAACAGTAAGAACAACGCTTCCCGCATGAAGTGAGGTCAGAACAGTCCCTATGACAGCATTTTCATAATGGAGATAGCTCGAATCCAGGAGAGCTATTTTGCAGAAGACAGGCTGATTTTTCCTTCCATGGAGAGAGAGGATGAGTCTAACTGCTCCAAAATGTAAAGCTGTGTATCCTTCAGATTTCCAGTGATTTATGAGACTCTGAGGAATCTCTAAATCCACATACTGCTCTTGGTTTGTTGCTCTCAAACTACATTGGTCTAGTCGAGATGACTGGACGTATTCTTTCATATGAGGGCGATTGGTAGAGATTAGGTTTCTGATGGATCTGGTAATTGTTCTTTGTTTTTTGAAGATATTATAAGGGCTTAAAAGGGGAGGTACTGTTTCGGAAATTTGAGCATCTTCTGGAACATAAGAATACTCAACAAGGTTTTCTATTTTATGGGTATCGGTCTTTTTACAGAGTTTAGGAAGTGATAGGGAAGAGGTGGTGGTAATAGGATTGAAGAGAGTTGATCAGTTTTGAGGCTTTGTGGGTATTATTAGGACATTCCTTGGAAAAGTGCCCCTTTTTCCCACAAATAAAGCATCTCCGGTTTTTCCCCTTTCCTCTGAAAGATTTTCTTTTAAAGAACTTCATGGTCTTCTTTTTCTTTCCTTTAAAGTTCTTATGAGATTTGGAGTATTTTTGATGATGATGTTTGTTTTTTGTTTCACAACTGCACTTTTTGTCTTTACACTTAATCTCCAGATAAGGTTTTTTGCAGGCCTTGGTGAACTTTGACTTTTGCTGTATAACTTCTTGAAATTGATGATGAAAACTACAAAGCTTTTCAAGTGCTTCCAACGTCGCCTGATGAATCTGGCCAAGACTCATTGTTGCAATATCCTTTTTAGCTGTTGCTACCATCCTATGGATTTCTTGCTGGAGTTCATGTGGTAGAGATGATACATAAGTATTCTTGAGACTAGGATCGTTGTACCCATTGAGGAGATAAAACCTTTGTGCCATCCTGTGATAGTGTTTGTCGAGGTCTTTTGTTTTTAGGGAACAACACTTCATCTCAAAGAATTCCTGCCTATTTTTTCTATCGAACATATCCATATCTCCGATAAACTCCTGGTGGAGTACACCAAGGATATTGGCTGTGCTTTCTAAACGGTGTAACTCATCTTGTTTGAAAGCCCCAAGATTGTGATACCATTCCTTCATCGTGCCTGTCATTCTACAGCAAAATTCTTCAATGACCTTATAGCTATCTGCATTTGTTTTCATCATTTGGGTATCAAGCCATGCTCCGAATTCAAGTAGTCTCTTTCTCCAACGACTAGGCGGTATATCATCAAATGTGAACCAAGGACCACCATTTGGTTTAGTCCTTTCAGGGACTAGAGTTTCTTCAGGAGATTCTTCAAAAAATGAATCTTCCTCTTTTATATTTGCCATGAAGAGTCTTGGGATGTAGTTTACTTCAGATTGTGATTCTGATGAAAAGGATCTTGGTGTTTCATCACTAGACGTTTCTTGACAGGAGTCTTTTTCATCATCCGAGGAGGACTCGTCTTCTTTTTGTGCCGATGATTCAGCAAGAGAGTAACTTTTCTGGGGAAATTCACAATTTCCAGTGATTGCCATGGCTTGGAAACCTTTATCAGGAATTTCTTCTTCTTTTTTGGAATTTTGGAGGAGGTGTTTCAGGAAAATCCTGAGATTCTGAGGATGAAGCGCTTAAACAGGCAGCCTTTCCTTTTTTCTTGGAGGTTAAGGTAACGGTAGTTCTGGTAGATTTTGGTCTGTAAGCTGTAGGTATGTATTTGACCTGATCTGGTGGTGAAGTAACATAGGTAGGGAAGAAGGGAGAAGGTCTTTCTGGTCGTTTGAAATATGTAGGGAAAGTAGGAGGGTCAAGGAAAAGGTTTTCAACAGGCTTGGGCTTTCTTTCGTGTGAAGCTCTTAAGAAATCATCTATTTCTTTTACTTGGCCTTGTAGGTTTCTGATTTCTCTTTCCTTTTGGTCAAAATTTTTGCCAAAAGTTCTCTCTTCTAACATCTGTCGCAAATCACGATCCAGCTGAGACACCTGGGCCTTTAAGCTTCTGTAATGCTTCTGCATTTTCTGTGATAGAACCTTTAGATAATCATCTGTCTCGTCTATTCTCTCAGCAATCTTGTCCACTTTTTTGTCGAGATTTTGGAGGATATCATTTTGAGAAATCATGTTTTCTGATTGCCAGTTTAGAACTTCTTCAGCCTGAGTTAAAGGTTTGAGTTTTCCATCGGGTTGTACTTCATTAGGATGAATGAAGGGTTTGGATGTTCTACCAGTGATTGGGTCCATCTTCCTTTCTAGAGCGGGAAATTGTTGGCTATATTCTGGTGCGGTAGTTGAGTACATAAAGCAAGGGATTAACTCCACATTTTTTGGAGGGTCCAAAACTTTGCAGTGGTCTGACGGTGACCACGTAACCAGAGTAGGATCATTTGGTGGCAACAGTTTTTCTTTCCTGAGGATCTTGAGAGCTTCCTCATAAATAGGAAGAGGTTTCTTTTTATCATGGATACCTACCCATGGACCGTTATCGGGATCATATCTTCTTTGTGGAGGGGGAGATGGTTTGCACGCCCCGTTGTTTTTCCTTTTTGGAAGGATAATATCTCTGTCATAATCATTATCATGCATCCAACATTCACATCCTGGATCACATTTATTGGGATCTACGTCCCAAATAAAATGACCATTTATCTTGTCAGTGTAGATAGGTTCTCCTTTACTAGTTACAGCATGAATTGGGCACCAATCTTCTTTGAGAATCGGTCGGATCATCATGGTCTGGAAAATAGGAGGAATTGAACTCGGTCCTTCATCTGTTTTTTTGAAAATTGTTTTGACCGTTTTGTCAACAGATCTTCTAAAGGTGGCCTCTTGAGATTGTATTTGTCTTCTATCTTGATGGATTTTTTCATAGTTTGTTATCCACTCAAGAGGAACTAACTGAGTTAGTTCTTCCCTCGTGATCTTTCTTGGAATCTGAACAATAGAGGGTATATCTTCTTCTCTATTAGTAACTACTAACAGAGAATCAGAAGAACATCCCGTGAGAGGCAAATCTATCGAATGATTTTGTAGACGATAGATTATTTGGTGATGGAGAGTAGCAGACATGGCCTCTGGAACTTGGTCAGATCCAGTGATTTGGACTTGGACCTTTAGTCTTGTAGATAGGGTGCTGTCGTTGAGGCTTACATTATAATTTGGAAAAACAGTAAGAACAACGCTTCCCGCATGAAGTGAGGTCAGAACAGTCCCTATGACAACATTTTCATAATGGAGATAGCTCGAATCCAGGAGAGCTATTTTGCAGAAGACAGGCTGATTTTTCCTTCCATGGAGAGAGAGGATGAGTCTAACTGCTCCAAAATGTAAAGCTGTGTATCCTTCAGATTTCCAGTGATTTATGAGACTCTGAGGAATCTCTAAATCCACATACTGCTCTTGGTTTGTTGCTCTCAAACTACATTGGTCTAGTCGAGATGACTGGACGTATTCTTTCATCTGAGGGCGATTGGTAGAGATTAGGTTTCTGATGGATCTGGTAATTGTTCTTTGTTTTTTGAAGATATTATAAGGGCTTAAAAGGGGAGGTACTGTTTCGGAAATTTGAGCATCTTCTGGAACATAAGAATACCCAACAAGGTTTTCTATTTTATGGGTATCGGTCTTTTTACAGAGTTTAGGAAGTGATAGGGAAGAGGTGGTGGTAATAGGATGAGTGTTTTGTTGTGATAGTGCCATGGTTAAATATTTTTCCCCCTTACTTACTATATTTATTATATTCATGCCATATGCACCCCTTCTTTCTGTCGAGGCTCTTATACCACACTGTCCGGGAGCCTCACATACTATGAAACCAGTCTTAACTGTATCGTCATTAAACAGCCAACCATAGGCATAACATAGACTAACAATTAAAACTGACATTCCATAATAGTGAGGACCGTAGTATGGATCGATGGTCAGATGTTTTCTGATACACAAGATCCTCGTGTTGAGGCAGGTGTAGAGCATACTTGCATCTATATGGGGAATTATGACATGAATACAATAACTAAAGCTTTTAGGGAGAAAGAAAAGAGAGTTAGAACATTTTGTTCTTAAGCACACAAGATGGTTTTTATTCTTATTGCTTATGACTTGAAATATTACAAGAGGTCTCCTTTTATAGCCAAGGAGATTCACAAAAGACAAATCCACACTATTCACACACATGGCATCATTAGTGCCTTATTTCAAAAGTCCGACACCCTTATCCCTTATTCACACACATTATTTGTAGTACTATTACACAAAAGGACGAAACTTAACTATTTATAAAAATGCTTGTGATTAATAAGAGACACTTGTCCAATTAGTCTTCAAAGATAGGTTCATGACTTGGAGTCATATTCTAATCGGATAAGTATTCTTCTGAAAAGCAGTCTCCGTACCGAGATGTCTCTTTTTCCCACACGTCGTCCATCATGTAAGCATGGTCTGATATTTTTCTATGAACTTCTTCCACGTGTCCTTCTGAGAATTCAACTTCCATTGGGGAATCTGATTTTTGTTGTGTGGCTTGAACTGAGCTTTCTCCAACCTCTCGATCTTTATACTGAGCTTGATGACTTATACAAGTGGAGTTAGCATTCATCTTGTCTGGTTCATGGAGGTTGATGAAGTTAACATATTCCATTAATTCTCTTGTGACTTTTAGATTTGGAGGATAATCATCAATGGTTTCCCATATATGAACATAATTCTTACAACCAAGTAACTTAGTGGCAGGATCTGTTTGATAGGGCCTGTGCATGAAGAAAACAGTCTTGAATTTGCTAATAGCCTCTGAGGTTAACCCCCTTTCCTTGACCTCGTCTAGGATTGGTTTTAATTGATCTCTCCACCATGTTAGCGGAGAGTACCATTCAAGAGTAGTCCAAATCAGGGATTTGTGGTTCTTCGGATCCATTATGTGTTCATACATGGCTTCAGTGGGTATGAGGACAGGCATAAAATATAAAGCAGTGGCACACCAAATATACCATAAATGGTTTTTTGTGAATTTAGCATTAGGGTTTATTAAAATTGGTAGCAGAAATGGTGTGTCTGGGAAATAAGGAGTATGGTCAGGGAGTTTATTTCTTATGATTTTTGTCATGTAATAAAAAAGATTATTCCTGGCATACTGCTTAAGCTGTGAGGGTGAAGAGGATACAGTTACTCCTGGAGGAAAGTCTTTGGTCTTGGAGGCACGGGTTGGCAATGGTTTGACCATGAGAATCAAAGGAAAAGTGTGCTTGGTAGTAATGATCTGGATGGGTTTCATAGGCCTAGAAAGTAAATCAGGAATCACATTTTGAGTTCCTTTGATATGTTTCACAATAAAATCATATCTAGAAAACCAATCTTTGAGCCTAAGAGTTTGAGGATCAGGAGGCATCTTATTTTTGAATTCGAGGATCTTAGGGAAAGAGGAATTATCCATCTGGACTTCAAACTGATGACCTCTCAGGTGAAAGTCAAACTTTTGGATACCCATCTTAACTGCAAGAGCTTCCTTATAAGTGGTATGGTAATGTTTTTCAGCTTCTTTGAACTGACCACTAGCATGACAACAATAATACTTTATTCCATCAATCTCTTCTATGAAGACGGCTCCCCAGTAATGATCACTAGCATCCGTCTGTAAGATTCTTTTACCGTATCCCGGGATCTTTAAGGCAGGTGGGGTTTGTGCGATCTTTTTCAAGGCTCTTACTGCTTCAGTTTGCTTTGCTCCCCATGGTGGGGGGTTTTTCTTCAGCATTTGAGATAGAGGACTCGTGTATTTTGCCAGTTTTGGCAAGAAATCTCTGATATAATTAATTATACCAAGAAATTGCTGAATCTGCTTAACAGTGAGCTTTTCATCGGGAAAGTTTAGCAATTCTTGAGCAATATGAGGCTGAGGTTGATACTTCCCTTGGGAAAAATGCATTCCTAGAAAGTCAATTTCTGTTTGGCCCAATTGGCTTTTCTTCTCAGAGAGCATCATCCCATGTCGCTGGGCTATTTGAAGGAATTGTCCCAATAGTTGTTTATGGGATTTTTCATCTTTTGAGAATAATAGCAAATCATCAATATAGATGAGGATACTATTGAGAATGGGCTCAAAAATTCTAGTCATGGCCTTTTGAAAAAGTGATGGAGCTACCTTAAGCCCAAATGGTAACACAGTCCATTGGTATTGGGCGTTAGGAATGCTGAACGCCGTTTTGTAACGGTCCTCGGGGTCGATACCCAATTGCCAAAATCCTGACTTAAGATCGAACTTGGAATAGATCTGGGCATCTTTGATGAAAACATTTAAGGACGAGGCCTTTGGAATAGGAAATTTATCATCCTTGAGGAAATGGTTTAGAGGTTTATAATCAATTACTAGCCTCTTTTTTCCTCTTAACTTTTCAGATCTTTTCTCTACATAAAATGCTTGGCAAGCCCATTCTGATTTGGTGGGTTCTATCAGACCTTGTTTGAGCAACTGGTTGCATTCTTCCCTGGCCAATGTATAATCTGATGGACTCATTCCTGGATGAGTGGCCTTGGTTGGATTAACATCTTCATTGAGCTTAAAAGGAAGTTGAACAAAGAAGTCTTTATTCTTCCATAGAGGTTTTGGATGGCAGAATGTTTCATGGCTGTTTGCACAGAGTTTGAGTAGGTTGGACTTGATTTCTTCATATCCAGCAGGGATTTTAGATAGTGAATATAACTTCAATATACCAGAATAAGGTTTGAATTCTCTTTTGAATTTTAATCCCGTGGGAAGAATCTGGAGTCTATTGGCTGCTGAGTATACATCCATCCCTACTACAATATCTTTGTTTGGAAGATTACTTCCAATGACCTTGGTCCAAACTATGCAGTCGGGGAAGAATTTGATTCCTATCTTTTCCTTGGTCATTAAATCTGTCCTGAAGACTTTCCCATCTGCTGCTACAAAGTACGCAGCATGTGTTACCCATGATTCTGCTGGGAGAATGCTAGGATTCATCATTGTAATCTGGGCCCCAGTGTCCATATAAGCTATAACTTTCTTCGGACGGGAAAACTTTGTCGCTAGTACATGAGCTTCAATACATGGGAGTGGTGGAGTAGGAAGAGAGCTTCCTATCTCTTTGAAGGAGTAAACAGGGAAATATTTGTCATCTTCTGATTCAGAAAATGATGCTTCATCAGACGCAGAGTCTTGAAGGGCAAAAATTGTTTCTTCATCAGCAGAACTTTGTTCAGAATACAAAGATTCTAGGTCTCCATCTAGAGGTTGAAGAGAGTTGATCAGTTTTGAGGCTTTGTGGGTATTATTAGGACATTCCTTGGAAAAGTGCCCCTTTTTCCCACAAATAAAGCATCTCCGGTTTTTCCCCTTTCCTCTGAAAGATTTTCTTTTAAAGAACTTCATGGTCTTCTTTTTCTTTCCTTTAAAGTTCCTATGAGATTTGGAGTATTTTTGATGATGATGTTTGTTTTTTGTTTCACAACTGCACTTTTTGTCTTTACACTTAATCTCCAGATAAGGTTTTTTGCAGGCCTTGGTGAACTTTGACTTTTGCTGTATAACTTCTTGAAATTGATGATGAAAGCTACAAAGCTTTTCAAGTGCTTCCAACGTCGCCTGATGAATCTGGCCAAGACTCATTGTTGCAATATCCTTTTTAGCTGTTGCTACCATCCTATGGATTTCTTGCTGGAGTTCATGTGGTAGAGATGATACATAAGTATTCTTGAGACTAGGATCGTTGTACCCATTGAGGAGATAAAACCTTTGTGCCATCCTGTGATAGTGTTTGTCGAGGTCTTTTGTTTTTAGGGAACAACACTTCATCTCAAAGAATTCCTGCCTATTTTTTCTATCGAACATATCCATATCTCCGATAAACTCCTGGTGGAGTACACCAAGGATATTGGCTGTGCTTTCTAAACGGTGTAACTCATCTTGTTTGAAAGCCCCAAGATTGTGATACCATTCCTTCATCGTGCCTGTCATTCTACAGCAAAATTCTTCAATGACCTTATAGCTATCTGCATTTGTTTTCATCATTTGGGTATCAAGCCATGCTCCGAATTCAAGTAGTCTCTTTCTCCAACGACTAGGCGGTATATCATCAAATGTGAACCAAGGACCACCATTTGGTTTAGTCCTTTCAGGGACTAGAGTTTCTTCAGGAGATTCTTCAAAAAATGAATCTTCCTCTTTTATATTTGCCATGAAGAGTCTTGGGATGTAGTTTACTTCAGATTGTGATTCTGATGAAAAGGATCTTGGTGTTTCATCACTAGACGTTTCTTGACAGGAGTCTTTTTCATCATCCGAGGAGGACTCGTCTTCTTTTTGTGCCGATGATTCAGCAAGAGAGTAACTTTTCTGGGGAAATTCACAATTTCCAGTGATTGCCATGGCTTGGAAACCTTTATCAGGAATTTCTTCTTCTTTTTGGAATTTTGGAGGAGGTGTTTCAGGAAAATCCTGAGATTCTGAGGATGAAGCGCTTAAACAGGCAACCTTTCCTTTTTTCTTGGAGGTTGAGGTAACGGTAGTTCTGGTAGATTTTGGTCTGTAAGCTGTAGGTATGTATTTGACCTCATCTGGTGGTGAAGTAACATAGGTAGGGAAGAAGGGAGAAGGTCTTTCTGGTCGTTTGAAATATGTAGGGAAAGTAGGAGGGTCAAGGAAAAGGTTTTCAACAGGCTTGGGCTTTCTTTCGTGTGAAGCTCTTAAGAAATCATCTATTTCTTTTACTTGGCCTTGTAGGTTTCTGATTTCTCTTTCCTTTTGGTCAAAATTTTTGCCAAAAGTTCTCTCTTCTAACATCTGTCGCAAATCACGATCCAGCTGAGACACCTGGGCCTTTAAGCTTCTGTAATGCTTCTGCATTTTCTGTGATAGAACCTTGAGATAATCATCTGTCTCGTCTATTCTCTCAGCAATCTTGTCCACTTTTTTGTCGAGATTTTGGAGGATATCATTTTGAGAAATCATGTTTTCTGATTGCCAGTTTAGAACTTCTTCAGCCTGAGTTAAAGGTTTGAGTTTTCCATCGGGTTGTACTTCATTAGGATGAATGAAGGGTTTGGATGTTCTACCAGTGATTGGGTCCATCTTCCTTTCTAGAGCGGGAAATTGTTGGCTATATTCTGGTGCGGTAGTTGAGTACATAAAGCAAGGGATTAACTCCACATTTTTTGGAGGGTCC